AAACATAAGGCACATTAAAGTCATTATAGGTGATTTTATCTGTAACAAACTAAGTATTGGGGATTTTACGAAGGATTTGGGATTGTAAGGATTGGATAGGAGACGAATTCGATGGTTTAAAATATTATTCTGGCGCGAGACAATATCGATATTGGGCCTTCTATATGCCATTTCTAACCCGGACCACTTTTTTTAAAATTATTAACATCCGTCTAAAACTTTGCGAATGATGAGGATGATTTTTATTAAAAATAAAAATAATTAATAATTTAACAGACTTTTCGTTCGAGTCAACGACAATTTCGTTAGAGCTCGGAGGAACACGCAGGCGCGGAGTGGGAGGACGGAAGTAGAAGCCAGGATACCGGAAGAGAAGCCAGGTGTACCAACACACCTGCTTCAACGACCCTATCTAGTACGTCCCATTCAAGTCGTTTTTTGTTTGTAGGTTTTTTTATATATATAAAATTGTTTCACGGCTTGTAGAATATTATCTTCAATGTTTTATGAAAATCCTCTCAGACTAACGAATTATAACAGTTTTTTTTTGTTAATGTCAAAAACATAAATACATATTTTTGGAGCTCTAGTAAAATAGTATTAATAAATATATACTTTATCTTTAGAAAAATATTTACATTAATATTAAATATTTACATTCCTCAGAGAGGAAGGATCATACAAGAAAAAATAATAAAATGAAAATATTTTAATTTAAAAAAAAAACGACTAAAGAAATAAGCGTATCCATCATAGGCGCAGATTTCGGAGGAGGGGACTACGCTCCCCTCCTCATAAAAATAGAGAAGGGATAAGAATATCGTTTCCTCCCTCCCTCCCATATATTTTGACGAACAAAAACTTAAAATAAATAAAATCAAAATCAATCACATAATGAATAAAATATTAAGTAAGAAGACGGTCTGGGGATGGCGGTCATAAAAAAAACTACTTAATTCAAAGCTAACTTTTCGATCCGACTTTGCAGGTCTCTTTCAGGGGGATGTATGCAGCATAGAGTTTCATGAAAATCAATCATACGAACACATTACAAAGGTACCACAACCGATATGCTCGATGACACTCGCAGAAGGTTCAAAAGAAGCTGGATGAAGGATCTCCTCCATTAAGTATAAATATCAAAATCAAGAAAAGAAGGGATGCCACTAGGTACTCTTTCTCCTCTCGCATAAAGATTCACTCTATATTGTACTACTGCCCGATAGCATACTCTCTGTTTTTTTTATCTTTGAGAGGTGTGAGTTAAAGAATTGGGTTACAATAATTAATTAATTTTATTAATGATGTAGAGATGGTTGACCGTTGATATAATATGAGAAGGAGTTGATCGGGGGGTGCGGTCAAATAAATACTAAATTCAGGGTAAATTCTCAGGGTTGAGAGGAGGAGTTTAAAACTGAAGAGGTCGTTCAAAAATTCTTCACATGACGACACATTCACCTCTTCAGTTTTAAACTCCTCCTCTCAACCCTGATGAACACCTGAAAAATGGATCGAAACGTCGGCAAAAATTAAATAATACTATTTGTTTAATTTAGTATTTATTTGACCGCATCCCCCGATAAACTCCTTCTCAAATTAATTTTATTGTACCAAAATTTTAAACAAATATTTGTTATAGTACAATTTTTATAAATTTTTCTCCGTATCATAGATAATTTTGTTTCTCTGCAAACCAAACACCAATCAACTTTTGTTTTGGAACAACCTTAAAGTTTGATTCGTTTCAAAAGCGGGCCTATTATTTTTTTTATATATAATTAAAAGTTAAAAAAAATATTTGTTTAAAAATATTGGTCTTGATATTGCATTGTAACAGAAATATAGTTCGCGTTTCCTGAAAAATTGTCAATACTGATTACGGTTCATTTTGGAACAATACGACTCATGTCTTCTCGTTCTATGTCGTTATACGAAACTGATTTAGATTTACCTCAATTCAAATCGAAAATAAATGCAATTCTCATTGCAATTCCAGGTTATAAAAACAAACTAACAAGGTAGAGGGGGGAAAATAAGCAATTTGTACCATTCGAGTCGATTGGAACTTCGCAAACCTCCTGTTACACAGTCCCATCTCTTCTGGAATAGAATTTCCTGCCTCCCGATAAAAATTGGATGAAGGGAGGGGAGGAGTGGTAGTAGTATTGTGGATGACTTTCGAAATTTCATTTCGCCGGTAATTTCAAGATGAAACTTGGAATACTTTGAAATAGCCCCAGTGAAGTAGGGAGGGGAAAACAGGAAAAAAAAAAAAAAACATTTCGGTGGGAGGGTGCAAGAAGGAAATGTTTCGAATATGGCTGAAAAACTTTTTCTTTCCTGAAGATACTTGAAACAGATTTCAAGTATTGTAAGTATAAAAAAAAAGTATTTTTTATTATTATTATGAATAAAATAAACCACTAAGACCTCACCGGGAGATAGAAAATATATTTTTGGTTATGATTAGAGAATTACAACCACAAACCCTAAAATGCGATGTTTCACCAATTCAGACATCATTAGAACAGAAAAAAGAAATATTCAATCCAAGATCACAGCTGAGGAAGGTCAAACAGCTGATCACCGAAAAAAAAAGATCATTAATTAATCACCAACCAAAATACATAAATCCACAAAAATACAAATAACAATATATATTACAATATAAACGAATGAAAAAAAAAAAAGAAAAGAAGAAGCAATAAAAATGCACATCAGAGAAAGGTTATCATGAAAAACAGCTGATCACACAAAGTGAAAAAAAAACATCTTGATTAATTATACTTAACCCCTAAGCGATTAAGCACACATATATATATTTTTTTAAATGGAAAATTAATTTTTTTATCAATGTAAACGAGTAAAGACTCACTAAGTGACGGAAAATGTTAGGTTATAGTTCAGAAAATGCATACAAGACAGTTTTGTTTTCCTAAAATGTGGGTAAAGAACAATATATCCCGTCAACTTTTAGCGGATTGAGATACCATAAGGAAAGAAAAAAAATGAATTCATGTTACATAATAAGATCATATTACTCCATGACATCCAATACCATACTCAATATACAAAGAATTTCATTTTGATAATATTCGAGTAGGGATATCTCTAAGAGAAATATATTCCAGTCTCTACAAATTGCACTGAAGTTAAATGATTTTGCTTTTAGAACTGAAGTTAATTATAGGACTCGCAGTAGAAAATCGAAAAAACTTTTTTTCTGAAACGTTGAGAGCGGAGTAGTTCAGTGGATAAGCACTGACTTCCAAAGCTTTATTCATTTTTTCTGATCAGCTGTCTAGCCTATATGTCCTTTTACCTTTCCTCTGTTTCAGTACGTGTTTGTATGTCATGAAGTGATGTGATCTTGTGATCGTGAAACGTTGACGGGTTATTTTGTTCTTTATCTACATTTTAAACACGCAAAAGACTATGTAAATTGCATTTTCAATTATAACTTAACATATTCTGATTTCAAATTAACTAATGTATACTAATATTTAAAGCTGAAGAATATGTTTCTTAAAACGCGTTTATTTAAAAAACGAACCGTCAGATTAAAAAAAAATCAACACGCCTCATCGATTAACCAAATAAAATGGCTAAATAGATTATTCTTTTTACGCTGCAGTTTTTAACCCAATATCGTCAAGGATAGATCAAGCTAAAGCTGTAATTCTTGTTTCCTTTTTTTCCTATTTTTTTTTTAAGTTTCTTTTCTCTTTAAACTCAGGGTCTTTTGATTCAGCTGTATCATTTAAAATTATTATTGAACATCATAATCTGATTGGTCACATCAGCTTTTGAACCAAACCAAACGCTATTACACGGTTGTCTAGAATTATTAACATCTGCAATATCATTGAACCTATGAAAATTTGGAAAAGAAAATCCATAATAGTTAATAATTTAATAGTCTTTTACAAATGAGTATCAGGAATATTAGAGAATATAATTTTCGAGTTATTCCAAAGATAAAAATATGAAATAAATAAATAAAAAACGTGACAAAGACTTGTCTTTGTAACGGTTTATATTTATTTATTCTATACATATAAAAAAAACTTTCGGGCTGAAGCCCCCCCCAAAAAAAAATTAAATCCCAGATCTGCTAATGGTAAGGGTTGATAGATATACCAGTTTAATTTTATACTTTAATTCAAGACTATTCACCAAAACATTATAAAGATATAATGAACAAAGAATTAAATACGAGATCGATATACGACCTCTAGTATATTGAAGGGAGCATGAAAAAGTGCTAAACGTACTGCATATCTAGTGTCGCCCAAATGCGAGACCGAGAGGAGTCTTGGTCTTGCAAACTCAGTCTTGGTCTTGCGCAACAGTCTCGCAGTTACTTATTAGCTTATTAATATAGAGATATTACTGTATTTTTTTAGATAGAAGAAACCTAACTAAGCCCAAATGAAAAATTATAGGAGTTAAATGCAAAAGTATATTGGTTGTACCAATTATTAACATATAGTAACAAAATTGTCGAGTATTACTAACTATTTTGCCTTAATTCTTAAAAATCGATTTTTTCCCAGTCCTGGTTTGGTCTTGCAAAGTACAATATATATATATATATATATATATATATATATATATATATATATAAAAAGATATATATCATTCACTCGATATCTCCGAGACAAGCATTTATCACCACTCGTGGAAGGAAAGGCAGGACTTCTAGGAGATCCCAGCGCCTCTCACTCAGCCGCGCTATTGGTCATAAAGAACAGTAGAGGATGAGCAGAAGCGCTATAATCACACATACATTCCACGACCAAAAATTATACTTTATTAAAACAGATTCACTAATTTACTCGGTATTATAAATACAGACGTTAGAATATCATAAGAGATAATAACAATCAAGAGTTACATTTTAATCAATATAATTTATCAATTTCAATTTTTTCTTTATAAATAAAAACGTACAATATGAATCATGAAACAATAATGGCGGCTTGTTATGTGTGACCTCAGAATTGGAAGCATATCGCGGTTAACGAAATGCTTGAGGCAGTCGGAACAATTCTCTCAAGGTTGCCCTGATTTTTCTCGAGCCAGAATGATATTGCCTCCAGTGTAATTCGAAATGGTACCATATTAAATTTGACTCTCGATGTTAAAGAACCTCTCATAATATCTACGATGTATTATTGATTTTGTAAAAATTGTTTATCGAAATTGATGATGCAATGCATATTTTATTTTTTAAGTGAAAACTTCTTTAAGCGTGTTTTGCACTTTTTTGTATAGAGTGAATTATATTGATCCGTCAGATTTCTAGATTTAACGCCCAGAATCGAAAAATTCCATTCGCGTTTGATATTTTGGACATCGAGGAACAAATTTGGTTCAGTGTCTCTGGTCTATCCTATGTGAGAATGAAATGTAAAAGGAATAGTCAAATAGTAATCAAGTATCAACTTCCATAAAGACTTTAATAAATTAATGAACCATCAGTACTCCCTTGTTTCTAATCTAGCTTCCATAACACTCCGAGGCGCCTAAAAAGAAAATTACCCCGGGACCTTCTGTATAGTACTATAATTGGATTTTTACCAATGGGTAGTTTCTCTTCATGTTGTACATTCCCTGTTACTAATTTCAAATTTACTTGTTGTATATTTCATGAAATACAGTTATAAACTTCCCCTCTACTCGAAGACAATATTTCCAAGGTACGTCCCTCTATTAAATCATCAACAATCATCGTCCTTCTTAGGCCTACAACTTTCTCCAATTTAAGTCCTCAGTCCACTCCTTTTTCACAAGATCTTGACCTTCTAACCTTTACATTCCTTCTCACATATCTGCCTCGTTCCAAAACTCGTTTATTGCTCGCTCTGTTAATTTCTGGAATTCCCTTCCTATCAAAATTCGGCATTCTCCCTCCCTATCTACATTTAAAACCCTTCTATTCCAATTTCTATCCCAAAAACAGTCAGACACCCCTCGCTAATATTTTATGTAAATTTATATATTATTCAAAATGATTCACATAATGATATAATTCATGACTTAAATAATTACTATCAGATTCTTCTTCTTTTTCTTTTTTTTTTTTTTCTTTCTTCAGAAACACAGAAGTTTAATGCTAGGAAGAATGAAATGCATTTTTTATTTACTTTTTTAAAGTGTATACTTATGTTTTACCACTGTACATAGTTTTAAGTGTCTCGGCATATTTTCAAGTGTTTTGTATATATATTTTTTTGTTATTTTGTACATACTATATTTAACTAATATTTTCTTTACTTTTTTTTTTTTTTTTTTTACTTTTTATGTTTGTTTTTACTTAGGCCAGATATAATACTTTAATTTTGTACTTTTTTGTTATTCTAAAGGGACTTCGTCCCAGACTAAAATTATTTTTCTATTCTATTCTAAATATGTTTAAAAAAAATATCAACTTATCAAATTCCATTCCCTAGTTTAGCTTAATTCTGCGTAAACGTATATTCAACAAAATTTCAAAACTGACTCATCCGATTTGGATCGAAGTTGAAGGAAATTTTAGGAATCATGTAGAAAAGGTCTAGTATAAATTTCATAAAAAAATTAAAATTAATGTAATAGTTAAGAATATAATTGTTGTGAAAAGAAGTAGAGTAAATAAACCACATTGAGAGGTAAATATAACTTTTTAACATTAATGTGATTAATGAACGACATATTTTTTGTGGATTATTAATCTTAATAAACCATATGCGTGTATGCATAGTTTTTCTATAAATCGTGATCAACGTCACGCAATGGGATGTTCTTACAGACCTCTATTGCTTACGGGTGCACACATAAGCAGTAGGGGGCCACTCAACCTCAGGTTGTTACGAACAATGGTCTCCAAAGCCGATCCCTTTAAGGCATATCTGGTAGTGCCCTTCGGACTAACTCGGGTTCAAGGCCAGTGACCAATCGGTGCAGATCCGTGGATTATGGCTATTTATAATCAGCAGTCATACGAGGATTATATTTCTTTTTACGAAACAGACTGCCCATAGACCAAACCTCGGGAAGCGTGACTTTTTCCGGAGGAAGCGTCACTTATCCAAGTACTTACCATGCTTGGCTTTGCTCAACCTTGATTATCTTTTATGAGCCAAACTTGAAATACCTCTGGTGTTTTGGTCCCTACATTAATTACTGACATCAAAGCCGACTTACAGATATCGGCCACTACGCCGCCTACCGCCTGGGCGCGAGCCGCCTGCACTCTCCCATAGAGGGTGCTGAACGGGACGTAGTACAGGTTAGAGGCCTTCCGGACGCTCATGTTCCTCTTGAGCACGGCCTGGATGGCCAAGGACATCGCGTCGTCCGAGTACTTCATGTAGACGTTCCTCCGGCTCATCTAGCAAACAGTCCCAAATCAATAAGAAACGAAATTTACTTGAAATTTAACGGTATGCTATAGCAATGCGATATTTCCATCGATTAGTCCTATTCGACAGACGAAAGTCAAGGGTTTTGTTGGAAAAAAACAAACAACCTAAGAATAAGAACCAATAACTTAAAACAGTCTAAATCAGGGATTCTCAACCCAGAACCTATAACAGCGATCACGTTAGCAACTGGTAACTGAATTCCGTAGTATTGCTGTAACAACATTTTTTTAAAAAATCTCTAATAATTAATTAATTCAAAATATAATGGTTTTCTTGTTGAATATTTAATAGTTGAACGTCGCATTATAAAGTAAGAAGATGGTCCGGGGTGGCGGTCATAAATAGGCTAAATAGTGGCAAAACTATTTTATTAAAAGCCAACGTTTCGACCCGACTTTGCAGGTCTGCTTCAAGGAGGTTCAGCTAGGAGTTTCACTTAAAACTCCTTTTTTCAAATTCCTCCTGGATTTAATTTTGGGGGCTTCAGCCCGGAAGCTTTCTTTTTCATATATATAATGATAATTACCTTGGAGAAACAGAAAGATACTAACTACCTATATTAAATGGAGTTTAAGTGATACTTGAAGTCCTATTAAATGTAATTAAACGAACAATAATACTTTAAGACTTAATTTTTTACCATAAAACATGGTCACATTTTACCATTTTGGGGGGCTTCAGCCCGAATGTCCCCCTCCCCCGTAGATCCCTGTGCTCCTATCTGAAAACACCTTCCTGAAGAAGACCTCCAAAGACGGATTGAAACTTTGGCTTTGAATAAAATAGTTTTGCCACTATTTAGCCTATTTATGACCGCCACCCCGGCCCATCTCCTTCCTTTATAATGGTTTTCTTTTGATATGGCCATTTATAGTATTGTAGCTTTTTAACAACATTTTCCAGTCAACATTATTTTATAAAATACTTGTTGGTCGATATGATTTTATTTCGATATTGTGAAACGTGTCCTTTTTTATTTGAGTAATGTTAATAATTTGATAAATGAGGACTGTATCGCGGACTAGTATCTTGAGAGGTTTTATAAAGTCTATGGTTATCTCCCCTGGTGGTTGAATAACAAACTACTTAATAACAGTTTCTACGATAAAGGTTGATAAAGAAACATAACCATGTAAACGTCCTTAAGACCCAAAACAAAGACCAGAAGCTACCAGCTACCTCACAACCTATCTCAAAGCTCTGTGACAGACGACTAATGACCTCTATAGAGCGGACGGCCGTCACAACACGCACTCCAGACTAAAAAAAGTCCGGGACCGGTTCCTATGATGTAACCACCCGAGATAACAGGTGATGTACAGTTCCAGTTCCTGTAACCGCCTCGAGGGAACGGTACCGATTGCTATGGCATACCTCTTCGGTTGTATAATACATACAGATATATATAAGGCATACCTTCCCTGTTGAGTATGTCAGGTATTTGTAGGACCGAGGAGGGAACTGGTGTCGGACATGTAGTCTGGGGTGCGCCGGGCGAGTGCGCGCCCCCCGAACAGATCGATCCAAAATGAGAGTCGTGATCAAAATACCGCAGCGCAGGTTGGAGTTATTCAATTTTAATTTTTAAAAAATATAAGCAATATCTTCACTCTTCGATCTAAATACAATCGAACCTCTATGAATTGAACATCGATGTTCATTGAACAAAAAAAATAAAATAAAATAAATAAATAATGAGTCCAGGGTACAACAATTCGATACCCTAAAAATAATCGATTGTAAATAACTAGTGTACTCAAGTAAGAACTCTCACATATAATCAAGATAATCTATTCAAGAAATATAATTGGAAAATCTGTATACATTAACACAACTGTTAAATTAAAAATAAACTTGTATGTAATTATGTTAAAATATCCCTCCAGTTTAATAGTTAAGAGAGAGTGGGTTGGAACAGTGGTACGGCGTTGAGTTCCAATGCTCAAGTTCCCAGATTCGAATCCTGGTGATGGGCGGATAAGTTATTTATTCTGTATCTATCCTGATTTCGGGAGATGCTCCTGGGATACACCCAGCCTCTATAAAGTAGTTAATATTTATTAAATAATTAATTAGGAGGAAAACCTGACGGCGTTTGAGTGTGATACATCGGTGGAATCACCTGGATATTTTTTATTTATAAAAATTTCAAAAAAAGTCTTTATATTATACGTAGGACCCAAGGAATCATGGAGCTATTCCCCTTATGGACCTTATCAAGACTATTATTCAAAACAATATTTTGATTTTTAAAACCTAAAAATGTGATAAGTAACACATGGTACAAAAAAAAAAAAAAAAAATATATGATGAAGTGTATAACTATGATGAAGAAAAGAAAATATAATAAAAAATCGATAATAAAATGCAGTAAAATCAATTAGTGACTACTTGTAGAGAAAAAATAATTATATTTCTAATTAATTACTTATTAAATACTTAAAATAAACATTATTAAATATTTTATGAAAATAGCAACATCACGTACTATATTTATCGGTATCCATGGTGATCGCTATCTGCCCTTTCAAGATGGCGGCCGAAAAGCCTGTTTTGCTAAAGACTACAGATATTTAGAAAGATTATTCGATATAAATAATAATTTATTTTTTCAAATGTAATTTCATGATTCATAGAATATGAGATTCAACGCGAGATTATCGCGATAAAAAACGCACAATCTTTTTGTTTCTTTCTACAATTTTAATCACTTTAATCAAAAAGCTTCTCATATGAAAATTAATCTATCTAAATTTCAAATAGTAAAATTTAGGGCAATATTTATTGTTATTAAATAGAAAATATTGTTTCAATTTGGGAAAGAACAAGACACTAATGTAACATCATTCCTCTTCCGTGTGGTAAATAATAAAGTATACATCATCGGCCAACAGAAACTATGTTATCCGTTTGTGCAGACGTCTGGTATGTTCTGACTTTTCCTGAAACGAATGGAAACAGCGATGGTAAAAGGGACTATCCTGAGGAAGTACTTATCCAGCATCAGTCTGAAAATGGAAACCACATGGTTCGTCCCCGACTGCTGAATCATAGCTCGCCACTAAGCATGGGAGTTCCCGAGTTCGTAATACATGGTAAGAATGAAAACTCTAATGTCTCAGGAGAAGTACCAGCACTACGTATAAATGAGAAGAAGCTGTCGGATCAACCATATTTTCCAAGAATAAAAGAGTTGGAGCTATTTCAGGAAGGCCACCAGGCTGAGAAGATGTACAAGGACACGACTACTTAAGAATAGGAAGGATATACAACTTTGCGACAGTGATTCGTATCTGAGATATGCGAAACAGCTTACAGCTGCAAGCATCCATAAAGACTAAAAGGCAGAGGACGACGGCACATGCTCTCCCTCTTTTAAGAAATGTCTGTTCTTAAAAGTAGTATGAGGGAAAACAGATTTAGAAAAATTGTAGTTCATGTAAATTACATTTGCTGGGGTCTGTTCTAAGACGTCACTTGATCTCTTTCAAATTGTTACTTCTTAACAGTATGGTACCCTCCGAAAATCACTAACTCTGACGAAATGTAACCCCTCAAAGATTCAAAACCCAGCAATAATTACTCCTCGAAAATTTCGATGGCACAATTTCTGTTAAGGGAGACAGGGCTCTACATTCTCCCTAAGTTAATTATTGAGCAAGACGTTTTAAACGTTTGCGTACAGTTGGAAGGAAGTCACCAGTTAAAGTTCTTCTTCTTTGGTAGGAGTTCTTTAGCTGTTCCAGGAAGGCCGACGGACTGAGGAGACATGGAAGAATGGGACGAATTAAGAATAGGAAGAGAGCAAGCAGAGAATCGTTCCTAAAACATGCAAAACATTTTACTTCTGCCTTGAAAACTATGGTATGGAAAAATGGAAAATAAATTAATATATCAAGATCTTCCAACAAACGACAATGTAAAATTCATCCAATACATCCACATTAACAGATTTCAATCAACGCAGCGATTCGCTACAAAGGTCCAGCACACCACAGGATGGCCCATTCTACCAAGATTGATGGCGCATGCCCTGCTTCCCTTCTAAGAAATTTAATTACTTTCTTCTTAAAAGCAGAGTAAAAAAAATTAGGTATAGACAAAATGCACTTAATATATATTACACTTGCTGTGGATTGTTCCATGTTTGGGGGTTGAAAAGTTCCTGCTTAAAAAGGAAACGACATCTCTACCACTTATCTAGAACCATTAAGCTCATTTAATCATTCCATTGGCAGATTGTTCATCTCCAATAAGTCTAACCAACATCTAAATAAAGATATATATTATGAGTAGCAATCCATTGCTTCAGATATGTACTTACCGAGTAACTGCTCTAGTAGGGAGTTCGAAGACGGCGCCTCCAATTCCCGACTGGTGAGGATGTCGAGGACCGCCCTGGACGTCGGATCCCTGCCTGGCTTGCTGGTGTTCTTGGCCTCCCACTTGAGGTAGGTCCACTTCTTGCGGACGTCACTCTCAGATCTGTGGATGCCCTCAACAGCACTGACCTGCTGGGCCACCTCGTGCCAGGCCCTCGCCCACCCCAAACCACCCGCGACGCCGAAGAGCACGGTGTCCTTCCTATTGGCCACGGCGGCCAGGAGGGCTTCCACTTCGCGAGAGGTGAAGTTGGTCTTCCTCTGCTTCATGGTGGTGGAGTGCCCCCCGCTGCCACCCCCGCTGCTCGAGCTGTGCCACATCATCTTGTTTAGCATCTCGCTGCTGGACGCTGCTGCCATCTGCAGGAACGCCAGGTCTGGAACGCACTCCATCGACCCGTTACTCTCCCACTTCCTCCCAATCTATGGAATAAATAAATCTTTTAATATACCATACTCTTCGGTTACATATTATTTCAACCTTTCTTAAGATGTTATCGAAATGTACTTGACAGTTTTCAAAATTGGAATTGCTTGTCATTGAGGGTAACACTTGGTTACGATAAAACTCATTTTATTTTTTATATACTAATGAATAAAGAAGTTTATAAAGATAATAGAATAGAAGAAATTACTTGAGTTAGAGAAAATAAAGAAGGAAAGCGGTGGACAGAGGAGCGAAGATATAAGAGATGAGAGAGAAGATGAGGAAGGTAAGGAAAAAAAAGGAAATCCAAGAAATATGTGAGGTCCTTAGCTGGCAAACAACGCAATAAATAAAAGTAACGCTACTCAGTTTTTTTCAGCGAATAATCAATAAATTAAATATTATTAAAAGGTAACACATTTCTATTAATTTGTAGGTATCCCTTTACATCCAAAGCTCAGTTAACATTTGTTTCGAGGTTAAGTGATTGGAAACGATATGGGAGCACAGGGTGGAAATAACAGATATATTTTGTCAAATTCTTAACATCCACCTGAAACTTCGTAAATAGCTTCATCTCATCATAACCTACAGCTATCTTATTTATGAAAACTCTTGAAACTGGGGCGTTTTCAATTTGGACGTCGGCAAGCTTTGTCTATTTAATTAGGAACTAAAAACCATAAATACCACACGTATCATAAGATAATTTGATTACAAAATCGAGGAAGAAAGTTGGTCTACAAAAATATTGGACCGTTTGACCAATATAACCTTGTTATTTTAACATTCTGGGGGTTTAGGTCGCACCAAACGGCTCAATATTTTTTAATGACACCTTTTCCCTCGATTTTTTGCACAAATTATCATACTATTCAAGGGAAAAGCTAATGGGTATTTACGAGTGGTTAGAACCTAATTAAATAGACAAAGTTTGCCGATCTCCAGATTGAAAACTCTCCCAATTCCGAGAATTTTCGTAAATAAAATAATTGTAGGTTACGATGAGATGAAGCTAATTTACGAAGTTTCAGGAGGATGTTAATAATTTGATAAAAAGGGGTCTGCACCATGGACTATATCTCATAAGTACGAAGTTGACGAATTTCCAAGATCACCCAAACAATTAGACAATTGACTTAACATATATCTTTTGACTTGCATCACTAGACAATTAACATTCAAATAACATAACGGCCGAAACTTCGTCAGTCTAAACGAAAAGACATTGAATAAAATATCTGAATAAAAAGAGCTCATCCTAAATAATTTCAATACTTAAAAACAGTATTTTACATTAAACTTATAATTTATAAAAAATAAGAAATTAATCTTTTTATCTTTCGGTAACTAAATTCTACCTTTCGTATTTCAGTAATGTAAAAATTATGATTGACACCATTTATTAGATAAAAGAAACAAAACATAAAAAAAAGGTCACGTTTAAGAATATCGGAATAGGACGTTATCGATCAACAATTATTATAAGTGGGGAAAAACTACGTCAAACTCACGATTAGTTGCTGAAAATGATTGTTTTCAAAACAAAGGTTCCAATTACAAAACAACATTGTTCCCTTTCAATGTTAAAATCAATAAATCGATACCTTGTAAATTATAAAACACTTTTAGGATTACTAGTAACTGTTATCAACAACTTTTTTAGACTGTTCTACAGCCGATACTGTATTATAACTTTCAGTTGCTTATCACATCCAGATGTTGGTTATTTAAATGAAACCGATTATATTATATCACCATATGAGCAATTTATTAACGTATATAATTCGTATAGTATAATATATATGTTTATTTATAAGAATCTGGTGCGGTGCGAACATCACATGACTTTTCACTGATCACCCTACTTGTATTAGAATTTAATTTAAATTTTAAAAGGTTCCATTTCGTTTATATTTAAATTCCATTTAATATCTATGAAAATATTAAATCAAAATAAGAATGAATATATATATAATCATAATAAAAACTGTCATTCTATTTAATTTTCTGCGTCTTTATAAATAAGGTATTAATTTTTCCCAATCTTTAGCTTCCCAATGATACACATATTACATCCACATAACTGCTCTAGTTCTATTTTACTTTACATATCCTTTACCGAATTATATAACTATTTTATCGTTTAAATTTATTCATTTTTATTTTTAACAATGAAAGACTTATTTTAAATTAAAAAAAAAATTAAAGATACTTCAGAGGAAACTATTGAATTAAAGCCAAGTCCAGACTGTTTCAATGAGGATAAAAACTAAATGATATTGTAGATAATTAAATTTTGGTGGCTTTTCATGTCATTTATCAAAAATAGTATAACATATTTAATAATATGATTTGATGCATATTCTTTCTAGTTGCGGGTATATGGATGAACAAAAACCATATGTCGAACTGAAGATATACAAAGTATCATTTTTCACAAAGGACTCATTTATTTTTTTTTCAAAATTGCTACTTGTCTTAAGCCCTTCAATTAATAACAATATATTAATATTTTATTGAGATACAAAATTATAATTTATTTGTTACAGGCTGAAACGTGGCAGATACCAAGACGAAAACATAGGATTATGTAAAATGATTAATGATAACAATAAACAGAACAGTCCTTATGTCTATAAAAAGTAGATAAAGAATAAAATAATCCGTAAACGTATCGATAATTAGGCCTTAGAAAAGAAGTCAAACACAAGATCTCTAAAATCAACGATATCCAATCGCATTCTAGATTAACGATGCGGTAACACAGCTGAGGAACATTATAATCAAACAGCTGATCAGCAAAACAAAAAGTACATATAAAAAAACATTTCCAACCAAATTTATGCGCCAAAAAAAAATACAAAAATAATAAGAAAAGCAATATAATAATAATAAAAAAAAATTATATGCACACCAAAGATGTTCAACGTTATTGGATAACTCTAACAAATCTAGGTAGCTTTTTTTTTTTACTTTTTGTGATCAGATGTTTTTAATGATACTAATCTTCCTTTAATGTAATTTTTTTTTTCATTATTATCTAAATTGTTTATGAAGTCAAAATTTCTTTAGGCACGTTTTGCACTTTCTTGTGGAGAGTGAATTAGATTGATTCATCAGATTTCGGTTTATGTGTTAGCGCTCGGGTAAAGTCGGCTAGTGTCGACTAATTGAAATGTTATTACACATAGATTAAAATATCTCAAAAACTATAAAATATACGTGCATATTGTCAGCGGGAAAAATGTTCATTATTTCATCTTCTTAGTAATGAGCTATTATTAAAAAATCAACAATATCCAATAGCATTCTAAATGAATGATAAGAGGCGTTATAATCAAACAGCTGATCAGCAAAACAAAGAGTACAGATGAAAAACATATCCAAACAAAATTAATAAACGTGCCACAAAAATACAAATTTAGAAGAAGAAAAGTAATATAATTAGAGGTATTCATTTAATCAGTGCTAAGTATTGTAATGTAAACCTCTTGAATGTGTAAAGTCGAAAAGATTATTTACGAAATATGTGTTAAATATGGCCGCCTCTTGATTTAAGCGTAGCCAAGGATCCTGTAAACTTCGAAAAGTCACGAAGGAGGTTATTGTAACGTCTTGATGTGTTTGATTCTTTGTTTGTTTAAAGTATCCACAGCAAAGACAGGTAGGATTTTATCTATTTATTCATCAAGTTCTTAGTCTTATGAATCATGAATCTTCATTGATACTTTCTAATAAAACATTTTTAAACAAATAATTCAGCAGATTTTGACTTTTATATTAGTCTTTTCACTTCGCTTTGGTATTTTAAAAATAAATCAAAACGTTAGTAGATCAATTAAGAACTTACCAACTAATAACACTTTAGCACGTTAGCACAGAGAAGTTATTTGCCAATCATTCAAAATTTTTGCTGACTGCTTAGCATGATAGCATATTAAGCATTTACAAGTGCATGGATACCCCTATTAATAATAATAATAAAATGAATATGCAAATCAAAGATGTTCAAAGTTATTGGTAAATAACAAATCTAGGTAATTTTTTTTAACTTTTTTTTTTTAACTTTGTGTGATCAGCTATTTTTGATGTGCATTTTCATTTTTTTTTTTTTTTTTAAATTATTATTATATTGGAAATCCCATCAAATTACCTTCACCCTTCGTCGTAAACCAATGACTTCCTGTCCTTCAGTATCCTTTAACAACACCTCACTTATTCCTGTTGAACAAATCCGTTACCTAGGATTCCATCTGGACAAACGTCTAACTTGGAATCCTCATACCAGACTGAAACGACTAGAAACCGCTCGACGTTTCCGACTACTTCAAAACTTACTAGACAAACGCTCTAACCTTCCAATCAATTATAAAAGACTGATTTACATGACTATAATAAGGCCTATTTGGACTTACGGGGTTGAGCTATGGGGCTCCACCAAGCCTTCAAATTCCTCTCGCATACAGTCCTTGCAATCCAAAATCCTTCGTAAAATCCTCAATGGTCCTTACTTTGTTACAAATAAAATTATCCATAATGACCTTAATGTTCCTTATGTATCAGATTTGGCCCAATCCAGATATCTGTCCTTCCATAATAAACTTCATAACCATCCCAACCCTCTTGTCTCTAACCTTGCTTCCTATTCGATTCCTGATAACCCTCCGAGGCGTCTGAAAAGAAGATGGCCACGTGATCTTCTAATATAGACATATTATTAGAGTGCTACCAATGGGTAGTTTCTCAACATGTGTTCCATGTCTTTATACCAATGTGCAAATTTACTAGATGTATTTTTTTGTATACAGTTGTAAATATCATTTAAAATAAATAAATAAATTATTATATTGGTTTTTATCTCCTTTTTTTTTGTGATATATTAACTAATTTTTGTTGATAATTACATGTTTTTCGTCTTTTTTTTTCAGATCAGCTGTTTAATTATAGTTTTCCACAGCTATGTTACACCACAACTTTATTTATGTATGCGATT